TGAAAACAAATGGTCGTTTATAAAACAGATTGAACGTGTGTAATTGTTTGATAAACAAAATTCAAAGAGTCGTAATCGAATCTTGTGGATCTTCTTCTTTTTCTTCTTTTTTTTCTCTCTCTCTCTCTCTCTCATTTATAAATGTAATTTGAAATTCTTGAAGTTACCAATAAAGTCAAGTTGCGAAAAGATTCAATTGATTTGAAAGAAATCTTATTAATTTTAGAAAAAATTTTTCTATGAGCGGTTATGTTATCCGCTCTTGTTTTTTTTTTAACAAATTATAATCTTTCCGGTGAAAATTTTTCTTATAATTCTTCATATAATTTTTCAAAACTTTTATTGTAAATTTTAGAATTAGAATGTATAAAAAGTTTTTAGAAAATTTCTCAAATTTTTTAAATACGAATTTGAACACGTTTTATAAGTGTTGAGGTTTATATTATTACTGGAATTTTTTATATGTATTTAAATTTTGATATTCTTAGATTTTCAAGACTTCTCATTCTATAATTTCTGAAAATGTATATAAAATCTGAAAAAAAGTTGAAAATAATTTTTAGGAATCTTCAATTTATCTTGAATTTAAAATATGGCAAATTCTTAAAAATATGGGATAATATGAGGATTTTATTTTATCAAGGCTATAATTCACTTTTTCAAAAACCATATAATGCAGTATCGCAATATCGTTAAGATGCATTTATTATATCTGATATTCTACTAACATAATGCATATAATACTTTTATATATTATTTGCGGGCGATGCTTCTATCATTTTAATTTACGTCAAAGTGTAAAAATTACATGTAAAAATTACTTGTGAACTTACATTGGCATTTTTTTTTGCCGAACAGACTAAGAAAAAACATACGTATACGCATATTCATATGTTTGATATTTTGATATTACTATAAAATTAGATTTATATGAAAACATGTATAATATTCGTGAGCGTTTTACAAGAATATACGCAATTATTGAATAAAGCTGTAAACTACGAGAAACATTTTTGAATAAATTGTATTTGTTTAAAAAAAAATAGTTGTTTACTTCATTTAATCTTATTTTGATTTTAATCCTTGTGTTTCTATAGGTCAGCACCGCTAACAGTAGTTCGGATAAAAAACCATTAACAAATCCTAAAACTGAACAGATCCAAGCAGAATGTACACATCGAGACGGTTATGAGCGAGCTAGTAAACGTAAGGCGAATACTCTCATCGCTACTCTGAATAGAGACAGTTCTTCTGAGAACGAAGACGACAATCAATACGACTTTACTCGTAATAAAAAAAAGAGAATTCAATTGAATGATAAATCGAATAATGTAGAATATGTTGATAATCAGCATGCGCATGCTAGTTATAAGAAAGAAAACGTGATTGCAGGTAATTCTTTCAGCGATGATAATAGCAACACGAATATTGACAATGAGACAAATATTAAACATTCACGCTCGCCTGAATTAACCGCGTATCCTAGAAGAATAAGACCTCCCAATCCTCAAACGCGTTTAAGTCTGGTTAGAAAAAGAAAGGAAAATGCTACATCGAAATTATTTCCAAAGACGCGATGTGAGAGTGAAAATGTTGAACAGGAAATCAAAAGAAATCAAAAGAAAGACAATACAATGACAGAAGAAGAAATTCGTTGTCAACTAGAAGAAGATTGGAGTAATGACGAGAAAAAAGTGTGTGTGGGGGAAAAGGATGCGAAGTTTCGGCCGATATTGAAAGAAGTGCGATTACGAGACAAACGGTTGTCTTTAAACAAAAAAGCGAAAGAGGCGCGAGCAGCGGTGAAGGAGGAGAAAAGCGATGAGGAGCAAAATAACATAAAGAGAGTGAAGCTTTGCGAACGACGAAAGGTAGAAGAATTATGTAGGATAGATAATAGAAACGGAAGTTGGGAGCATGAACTATTGTCTGATGAGGACAAATCATCTGAGATGAATCAAGTAAGTTGTAAAAAAATTTCACTTTTGTTATCTCTAAATTTGACAAAGTATTACTGTCTTTTATAACTCTTTCTCATTTATAGCAGTTTGATTTTCAGAATGGTAATCGATCCGATAATGTACCGACAAATAATGTAAATTGTCCTATATGCAATAAATGTTTTCCACATAACGAGATAGAGAATCATGCCGCCGATTGCGAACAATTCGAGATTAATAACGAAGAGGATGATAATGACAGATTTCAATTCAAATGTAATATATGCAGCAATTACAAGACAAACAATGGAAAAGAATATGAAGAACATGTTTATCAGTGCATAAATATTAAGAATAATCAAAGACATTCACATGGTACGTTCAGTATTAAATAATTTGTTTAGTAGTATTTTTTTTTATAAATATTTTACTGTAATACATATTAGAGAAGATAACGATTCATACAATAAGCATTTGGATTACCGCTTTGGAATATGTCAATTTTAGAAATATCACTTCTTGAAATTATAACAAATCTTTCGTAAAATCCTTTCAGTGTTTACGATATCGTATGTCTACAGATATCGTACACAAAGTGGGCTACTAGTGTATAGACGTCATGAAATTAATCATTATTTTTTAAAATAAATATTAAAATTATCTGAAAATATTTTCTTACAGGTTTTTAAGATCGAAGATTTCGAATTTCTAGTCGGAATTTCAAAATTTACCAGTACAGAGGAGCGTGTGGATTTTAAGTGATTCGAAGAGGGGTCATTGAATTTATGCAGGGGTCATTGAATTTATCTTTTTCCTTAAACTCAGCTTTACTCGCTGAGAAACAAAATGAAAATAGTTGTAGTATCCGGGAAATATAATTTTGGGACAACAGAAGAAAGCAATGGTTGATTTAAAAATTAATTCAGTTAATTACTGATTTATAAATGCAAGAGATAATTTTCATCTTTAAAATTGCATATGAAGAAATATGTGTCTATTATTTTCAATTACTTTACAAATCTACAAAGATTTGCGAAGTAATTGAAAATAAAATATTTGCAAAGTGCAAAATCGGCGAGTAATACAAAGGTAGGGTATTTGTAAGATCAGTCATGTTAAAGAATTTTATTATAGTTTTAAGTTGTCTTTTTTATCGATTAATCGGTTTCTTTCTTCCAACCGTTTCTTTCTTTTGTTAAAATGTATAGATCATATTTCCTGAATATCAAGACTATTTTAATTACGGTATTAGAATCTTTATTATCATTTTTATCTTTGAATCTGCTAACAAATTTAATTCCAATCGGATTAGCCAAAAATACCCTTGCAGATAGCTTCTAAGGAGAGAAAGAGATAAAGATTTAAGTCCTTTAATAATATCAAAACGGAAAATTAAAATTAGGAATGAACACCACCCAGTTATCAGGCAATAGGTTAGATAATTTATTATTACAAATTTATTAGCATCTTAATTTCTAAATTTGGAAATTAATACAATTAAAATTTTGATACTTAATGTTATCGAATTTGTTATATAATAATTTATTCAAACTTAACGGTTCCCAATATTCTCCCGAGTATCGATGTATCAAAAAGGGAGTAGTGTACCTGTTATTTCTTTTTTAATCGAATTTAATCTATTAGAAGAACCCTGATTATTAAAAGAGTTAGTAACAGCACACACATTAACTTCAATTAAACTATCAGAGTCTACTTCAATAAATAATTTAAGTCATTAGAAGTCTTTCTGATATCGGCTCCAAAATCAGCATCAAGAGATTTACTAGGAGAATGTTCTACAGACGTCACTTTTTTTACTTTATAGAATATTTCGAAACAGATATTTTCGATGATTTTGTTACAATATTTTTTTTTTTTCTATTGCACGTTTGTGCTGATCGAAGATGCATTAAAAAATAAATTTGATTTTATTTTTCTTTATTATCTAAAATCAAAAATGAATCATGCTGCTTATTTGAAAAATTTATTTGCCCAATTTCTTCGATATATAACATTTCTGGATGAAAGAAAATTTTTTGGCTAGCTTAGGAAATATTATTTTGCAGAAGAACTTAAACAAAGAAAATTGAAATGGATGAAATGAAGTTTATGTCATTTTGAAATTCTGACATTAAATTCATATTCAATGAAAACTTATATGTATAAATTATTATCACATATGTATAAATCAATACATAGGAATACTCTGCATTTTAAGGCCGTTTTAAAGTCTTACATCGAAATGATTGAGCATTTTCCGTTTATACAAAGAATAGTAGCTCACATTAAAAATTGAAAATCTAATAAGTTTGAAGAAATTTTTGTGTTATTAAAATAAATATCGCATTCCTTTTTTTTTAATTCCTTTATTTGGCAACTATTTAATAATATTCTTTTTCTTCATGTTGGCTAAATTTTCATTTATATTTATAATTTTACTTGTGTCTTTTTTTAGGCTCCGAAGACATCAATATCACTTCTATCTCAACGATCAAAACCAATCAGTGAAAGAACAGAAAGATTCTGAGATAGATTGTTTGACTCATGTAAGAGTAAAAAGAACACATATATTGGTAAAAAACGAAAACATCCTTATAAAAATTTCAAGTAATTGCGTTCTCTCATTTCATTTGAAACGTAGAAAGTTTTTCTTCTATCAAATGCTATTGCATGACTGATATATGTGTATTTTGTGTATAAACAGAGAATTGTTTGCGTCATATATTCAATAACACAAATGTAGAATGTTGCATAATTTATAACTTTTCAATAATAGATTTCCAATTTATAGTCGAATGTCGTGGAAAGCCATTAGATTTGTCGTCATTTTCAACATCGCATTTTGTCCTAAATTAAGCAATATAAAATTCTTTCAAAATCTGCTCAAAATTAACTCAAGAGTTTAGTTAACGAAAGAGTATGATTTTATTTTTTAAAGCTTCGTTTGTAAATCCTCTTTTTTGCGTTTGTAATTTCGAAATTAAATTTCTATTTATATATTTCCATTGATAAATAATCATTTTGAATTTATAGAAAATAAAAATGAAAATATTGTGAACATATTTCTTTTACTTGTCAATTAGGTTTTCTTTTTTTTATATGGTTTCATTTGAAAGAAAAAAATAAATATTCTGAGTCTGAAAATGAATACATAAATATTCGTAGTACTAATTTTTTTCACTAATTTTTTTATGTTTCTATTTGTTTTGAATAATCCTTAAATTACAATTTGATAGAATATTGCATTATTAGGATTATATGCGATGTTACAGGTAATAAAGTATCCTGTTTATATTGATTAAGGAGATTTTAAAGTAATGATCGCTGTTTTAGTAACGCAACACATCGACAACACATCTTTATTTTTAGTATTACATCAATGTTGCACGCACACATACTTAAATTTTATTAGAACGATATCATTTCAATTAGACATCTAATTTAAAGGACTTAATATTGTTTTTTCATATATTCTAGTTTTATATTAATCTAGCTTTCAATTTTGTAAGTACAAGTTGCAGAGCTTTTGCCAAACAAATGTTAAGTCACAACTTGACAGTTTTAAATATACTATTTTAGATTAAGAAATAAGATCCCAAAAAAATTTTTGTCATTCTCGGCATAAAATTTTAAGCTGTATTAATTACTTTATGATAATTCTGAAGGATTTCCAAATAAGTAATATACTGTACAAGTAATATATGTGATATTCTACGAAAATTATTGCATTTAATCGATAAAACAGACTTTAGGATCTTAAAGATTATGGAAGAATAACACCATTTTGATATCATATATTTGAAAACTACATCATTTTTACATTGTGAGATTATTTTACAATGTACGTGCAATATATAAATGATAGACGTTGCTTTCGTAAATTCCAGGATCGTAAATTCCAGGATCGAAAGGTTTTACGCGATATTTGAGCGAGATGTATAAATTTATATACATGTAAATAGATAACAAGCTAATGTTATTTGTCATTTTAATGTCAAAATCTTATCAAAGACAAATAACGCTATTTTGTGCTATCACGTTCCAAAACTTGCTCTCCGAGGAAGATTTTACTCTATGTGCAGGTGTATAAGCTTATATCCGCCGTTTGCTCATAGGTGGCATCAGTGAGCGTACAAAGTTACCCTGGGCAGCTGTGGGCTTTTATGTGTTTGACATCTGTCAACATTAACCAGTGCACATCATCGGCAATTTCATACAACAACATACATTTTTTCTTTCGTAATCATGTCTAGTTTTTTGCTAAAAAAAAAGCATATGCGGGAAGCTTTGCTTTTCTGTTTCAATTTGAAGAAATCGCATCGCCGAATCGCATCGCATGCTTGTGGAGGCATATGGCGACAATGCTTTATCGGAAACAACGTGCAGAGATTGGTTTCGCCGGTTCAACGACGACAATTTTGACCTGAGTGACAAGAAGCGTGAAAATCGGCCCAGGAAGGTTGAGGACTGTCAATTGCAGGCTCTTTTGGACGAGGACAATCGCAAAAAATGCTTGCCGAGCAATTTTTCTTTCTCAAGCAGCCATTTCCATGCGGTTACATGCCATAGGGAAGGTTCAAAAGATCAGAAAATGCGTGAACTGAACGATAGGCAGATGGAGCGACGCCAAAACACATGCTAAATTCTGCTTGCCAGACAAAAAAGAAAGTCGTTCCTGCATCGACAGGCGATGAAAAGTGGATTATTTTTAGAATCCTAAACGCAAGAAATCTTGGGTTGATCCCGCCCAACCATCAACATCTTCTTCAAGACCAAATCGCTTCGGACGATGCTGTGCGTTTGGTGGGATCAGGAGGGTGTCATCTACTACGAGCTGTTAAAATCTGGTGAAACTGTTAATGCTCACCGCTACCACCAACAACTGATCAAATTGCACCGCGTGAAAAAAGGCCACATTATCGGAAAAAACATGACAAGCTGATTTTCCTCCACGCACCATCGCATACGTCAACAATGGTCCAAAACTACTTGGAGCTACTCAACTGGGAAGTACTACCTCATCCCGCTTACTCACCAGACCTGACACCTTCTGACTATCACCTGTTTTCGTCCACGCGCTCGCTGAGCGGCACTTCGATTCTTACGAAGATGGCTCGATGAGTGGTTTGCCTCGATGAGGAATTTTTTTGGCGTGGTATATACAAATTGCCCGAAAGATGGGAAAAATGTATAGTTAGCAAGTACTTTGAATAAATTTTTTTTTGCTTCCTAGGAAAAAAAATGCGTTTTTCTGACTAAAAAACCGCGGATTTAAGCTTATACACCTGGTAGTATATGTTACGTGTACTAAATATATTTCGAGTAAAATTTTCCTCAGAGAGGAAGTTTTAGCTGAGGTAAGTTTCAACATTCGTTAAATTTAAATTAGCATAAAATATTTTTATACCAATGGAATCTGCTGTTTATAAATAAAATGTAAATTAAGATTTACTTGAGTTTTCATTAAGAATACGAGTTCGTTCACTTAGATTGAAATCACACGGAACAAAGGGAATAGAGAATTGAAACAACCAATTAGTGCTATTCGGAATAACGTTAATTGGTTGCTTCTATTCCGCAGCGTGTGATTTCACCCTACGCCCTAGGGCGCCGTTCAATGAGCGGAAGTTTACAACGGAACAACCAATCACAACTCTGCAGTCATTACTCTGCTTTCTTTTCTGCGATTGTAATTGGTGTTCCGCTGAAAATTTCCGTTCAGCGGTCTTAGGATGCCGTCTGATAAAGCGACTGAAAAATTGACAAAGGAATGGAACTCGCGGAATCAACACGACGAATCATTCCGCTATTTTCATTATAATTTCACCGTTACAATCTGAGGAAAATTGCACATAACTTCAATATTATATGTTTTCGATGAATATTACAACTAT